TTCTTAACCCCTAGTCTCTCATTCCCCACCTCCATCCTTTCTGTTCCCCAACTCACCGGATCCCCACCAGACGCGAACGAGATGGACTGCATGTGATGGTTGGCAATGATCTGATGCGGGCAGGGGATGGAGAAGGAAGGGAACAATCAAGGTCAGCAGCCTCAGGGTCCCGTGTACCCTCACCCCACCTATGACCTTGGCACCCACTCTCATTCTCTCATGTGGGCAGGGGATGGAGAAGGAAGGGAGTGGTCAAGATCCCGCGTGTCCTCACCCCAGCTATGACCTTGGCGCCCAGTCTTTCTCTCGGCTTCTAATCCTACACTCTTCTAATTTTGTTCTATTTGGCGGGGGTGGGGGGAGTGGGGGGGTGTAACAGGGATGCAGGGTCTCACTGTATAGTTGGAACTCAAACACCTGCCTCTGCCTCTGGAGTACTGGGATTAAATTTGTCACTATACCCAAGCCCTCTAATTTCTTCCTTCTCTACTCTCCAGTTGCTCCTGAGGACTCCAGGTTTTTGGCCTCCAGATCCCCCCACCCCATCATCCCATAACTACCCCCGTCCCTTTCAGCAGCCCCACCCACCTGTTTGCAGTCGGCTGCCATGAGGTTAAGGCTGCTGGTAGACACAGTGAGAGTGATTGGCATTCCAGCAAACTTCAGGTTACTCCTCCCCAGGATAGAGCTGAGTGGGCGGCTACAGGGCTAGGAAAGGCCCCAAGTCTCAGAACCTGAGCACTGGCAACACCAGGAGACACTTCTGTCTCCTCCCCTTGTGCCTGCGGTTGCCTTCCCCCTGCCCACCACAACCACACATACCTTTCTCCTCCTTGTGGCTCCTTTGGCACCAGGCACGGCTTCACACACCAAACTGATGGCCTCCCTAGAGAAACAGGGGTACTCAGACCTACTCCTGGCCTCCCACTGCCTGGGGCTGCCACAAAGCTGGGGGAGGGGAAGAGCAGGCCAGATTCTCAGAGCACTCCAGGCTCTTTGTCGTGGTGGATTGAATTAAGGGCCTTTAATATTTGATGACACTGAGGGGCTGCTTCCTGGCTGATTGGGTTAGGGCCTCAATGGTTATAGCCCCACCTCTTCCCAGTTACCAAATTTGCCATTCCCTTCCCAAAAGCAGCCTTTTGTAATCCATCGTCCCACAGTCTCCCAGGCTGCGTGGGTAAGGTGGTGCTCCAGACCAGAGCTGGCTCTTTGCAGTCAGACACACTGGTGTAACTTTCAGGTCTCTTAGCCACCCCATGAGAAGTCACCATCAGCACCACCACCAAATGCCCACCTTTCCTCCTCCTCCATACAAGACTCCAACAATACACCTGCCTCTCCACTAACCTGGTGACCTGAGTCCGGGTATTGAAGTCAAGGGCTCGCATTGACTGCAGGACCTCCACACAACCCATGTACTGTGGGGGAAGGAGGCAAGGATGGATCAGCTGCCCCCTCCCCGCAATACCCCACCCTTTGCAGAAGGTTCTAGGACTGTGCCCTATGTAGTCCCTAAGGGAAGTAAAGGTAAAGTAGCCTTCCTACTTCCTGGGGCCACCACCCCATAGTGAAGAAGGGCCACCAAAGAGGACCTTCATGCACTGTGGAGAGATTGTGAGAGGAGTTGTAGGCACTGGGTGGGATGGAGTGACAGCTATGGAAAAGGGAGGAGTCTAGAGGGAAGAACCCAGAAGTCATTTTTCATTCAACACTTACTAAAAGCCTCTGATGTGCTTGACCATTGTGTAAGCTGGGGGTAGGGATCAAAGGAAAGGGGACCTAGGCAGAAGACTCCCAGGCTAGAACAGAAGGCATAGAACTGGAGAAGGGATGTGGCAGGCAGGGTTAAGAACTAGGGGAATGCCACAGATGTTGGGGGAAGAGCAGGAAGTCCCAGCAAATCTGGAGTGAGCAGAGGAACTGGATGGGGAATGGGAGGGGGCAGAAAGGAGGATGTACACTCACCCGAACCAAGTAGGAAACCCCAGGTCCCATGACTTTGTCGTTGGGATGCAGCCAGCCTCGTGTGGGCTTATTGACAAAGCTCCCGTGTCTGGTCCACTCCTCGCCCCCCAGCTGGCCCCCTTCTACCCGAGTCCTGCGCCCGCCGCCTCCACTCAGCTTGTTCATGTCCTGGAGGAGGGGCAAGAGGCCTGAGTCCCGAAGGGCTGCCCCTGCATTCCCTTCCCCATCTTCAGCAGCCTTTCCTGGCTCTCCCTTAGGCCCCAGGCGCCCCCCAGCAGGATTGGCCAGCTTCAGGTTGCTCATCCGGGGAAAGAAGGAACACAGAGTAGTCGGACTATCATCCCCCGGCAGAGGAGGCAGAATGGGTCCCAGGGATGAGGCTGACGGGGAAGGCAGCTCTTCTGTGGGGGTAGACCCTGAAGCCCCCTCCTCCAGCGATGACAGAGACTCATTTCGAAGTGGGTTGTACTTCGGCTTGGGGGGTAGAAGATCCATGGCTGGGGTGAGAAGGGGGGCTGCTGCCTGGCCCGGCCTGGCCCCCCTGCCAAATTCAGGCAAGGGGGCCAGGCAGGGGGCATCCCCAGGCCCTTAGCCTGGTCTGACCTCTGCAGCCTGGTGATAACAGAGGACCTAGGGAAGCGAAGGACAAGTGGCCTCTGCTCTCCCACGTCAGACCAAGACAGTTTCAGGCCACATCCTTGCCCAGCCCTGCGAGGAAGCCTCTTATGGCTGAGGAGTACAGGCTGGACCCAGAGCTGACTGGCTCCTCCCCAGGGGCGGGGAACCAAGGGGAGAGACCAATCCCAAGGACAATGCTGACTCACAGGCTCAGAGGGGCAGAGACACCTCCTCACACAATGTGTGCTAGCCAGGCCACTCTCCCTTACCCAATACAAACAACTAGGGTCTGTCTGGGGAGGATGAAGGTGCCAGGTAGGAGAGAAAGATGGAAGAATAAGAAAAAGAGGAAAGAAGGAAAGGAAGGAGTTAAGAGGAACTCTGGATTAATCCAAACTGACATGGGCTAGCCAAAGAGAGCAGGAAGCCCGGAAGGTTAGGAGGGATAAAGGAGGAAACAGAAGCTGCTGAGGGAGGAAAGGGGGGGGGGTGATCTAGAGTTTAGTATTTCTCTTACAGCCTAGACCATCCCCCCCCCCCACCATACAGTAAGTGAGGTGGCAGCCCCAGGGAACCTGGGCCATTAGCATCCTCAGCCACAACAGCTGTGGACAAGAGCAAGGAACCAGGAAGAGAAAGTTGTCCCAGTGGGTGTAGATCGAGGCCAAGAGGGAAGCAAAGCTGAAACAGGAGGAATAAGGCCAATTTGGGCGGTGGTCTGGGAGCTACTAGGCAAGAGCTAGAGCAAGCCTGTCCCTTAGGCTTGTTACCTACCAAGGACCAATGGACTTCCTGGACCCCTTTCCAGAGGATGTAGAGACAATCAGGCTACCTTTAGACCTACAGACATATTTCTCTCCTTACAGGCTGTAAGGTCCACCCAACAGTGTCCCTCACACTAGTAGAGGAGTTGGCCTTGGAGGTCTGAAAATGAAACAAACAGAACTGGTGCCTACAAGCCACAAAGGGATAATAGGGCCATAAACAAATCAGTGTTAATAAAGACAGGAAGAAGAAAGGGATACCAGAGGTTGGGATCTGGCCATAAGTGCATAATAACACCAAGCCCATATTCCTTTGCCCACAGCTTCCTGCCACAGCTCTGCTAAAGGCCATCAGGAAGTTAAAGAAAGTGACCAATCAGCATTACTCCAGAATAAACTATCACTTATTTCCTTTAAAAAAAGAAAAAGGGGGGGGGGGAGAGGCAAATACAAGAAGTAAAAGGTAGTTTCTTTACAGGCTCACCTCCAAACTACCTTTAGGTTTAGTTTGGAGAATTAAAAACTGTATGATTGTGATTAACAATACCGGAACTTAAAACGGGTTAAATATCATTCTTCCGATTTTTCACCTGCCCTTAGTCCCCATCCCAGGAGAGCTGTTACTGAATATCGAACTTCTTCCTGAAAAGAAACTCTGTCATCCCGTCTACTAAGTAAGACCTCAGCTCTTAGAGGAGGAAAAATTCTGCCACAGCCATACACTTCCAAACACACACAATGATTCTTCATCTTGAGAGATGGCTTTCTCTAGGAGCGTTCATATCCAGAGGCAAGGAATGACCAAGAGTATGCACATTTGGAAGAAAAGGAAGCATGAGCCTTTAAATCTGCTTAAAGAGATGGGAGATTATCTACCGGACCAAAGCTAGGTAGTGGCAGCTGGGGGAGAGCCGTGTTTTGTACCTCAGCCCAGCAGGGAGGAAGCTGGAAGGGTAGGAAATAGCAGGAAATGGCGAAAGCCTCAGGAATGTTTCCAGCAGGGAAGGTTGGGCAAGTGGGGTCAGGATGAAGGCCAAACAGGAGTTATCTGGTTAGGGGGAGGGGTCTTTTAAAAACAACGGGAAAGGCACTAACCCCTACTCCTGACTCCAAAACAAGTTTTTCTTCTGATGGCAACAAACTTTCACTCCTGTTAGGTTCACACAAATCCAAACTTAGTGCAGTCCAGCCACAGGAAGGTACCACCTATGGCTGTCTCAGGAATAGGGGCTGACCCAGGAAGGATTTTCATCAAGCCACTCTCTAAGCCACTCTCTCATCCATTCTACGGCCGAAAAACGAAAGCCAGCCGCTTCAACTTAATTCACAGTCAGAGAAGGTTACAGGGGAAAGAAACCACGCTGCCAATAATCTCCTTACAATCACAAATTTCAACCCCCCCCCCCGATGGAGCACGACAGCTCAGGAAAACTAACCCCAAGGCTTAAAGAAAGGAGAGGGATATAAAAGCAGATGAAGCGTCCGGAACTTAAGATCGGGGCTTTGAGGCACTAGACCCAAGCTCGGCATGGAAAAGTCTCCTGAGGGGACCTGGTCCCTTACGAGGAATGCGCCACATTCCGGGACCAGACGTGGACAGTGGAAGGGGCGGGGCTCAGAAGGGGCGGGCCCCCAGAGAGGCGTCGCTTCTACAAAGCCGAACCGTTCTTTCAAAAGCAAGGTTTGGCCCGTTTTGGAAGCCAGGCTTTTGAGAAACTAGGTTTAGTCGGGAGTCCTGAGAAGGCGGTTTCAGAGAGATGAAACGACTGATCTTCCAGAGCTAGGAAAGCCTATCTGGGGGTAGGAATTCCAGGGAAGGGACGACAGGGTGTGGTCGCCACATTAAGAGACTAGGGGTTCGGGGAGCCCCTTGAAGTTGGAAGGTGGGACTTCCGGGGAGAGGGTCTCGGGGGCGGGACTTCTACAACACGACCGGAAGTGGGGTCCAGGGAGAGGGTTCCGGGGTGGAGGAGGATTGGGTCAGCCGCAGAGAGAAAGTCTACACTCACCAGGGTCGCATGGAGTCTCCGCACCGGACCGCGGGCCGATCTGGTTCCGGATCACGTAACTGTCGGCTTAAGTCACCGCCCCAACTTTCTGCCCCGGCCCCAGCCTCCCCAGACAAACTTTATTACACTCACTTCCGGCCTCACTAACCCCTGACCCCCTACCTCGCCGTCCCTCCTTTACCCGTCTGCTTTCCGAAGCCGGCCAATGGCTGCACGAGCAGACGCACGGGCTCAGGGGGAGCCAATGAGAGTCCTAGCTTTGATCCAGCTCATTCTTCAGAAACCTGAGCACGGCACTCCATTTACCACTCGCGGAGACACCAACGCGAGCCAATCGGGGGCTTCAAAATGGAGCTGTCCCGCCCCCTGCCGGGGAGACCAATCGGAGGTGCGGGCGGTGTGTTTGAAAGCGAGGCCAAAGAGGGTGGGAGCGCGTGCTGCTGGGAGTCGTCGGGAGGCCGGCGGCGCGGGGCTGAGGGCCCTCGGGCTGAGCAGTCATGTCGCACAAACAGATTTACTATTCGGACAAATACGACGACGAGGAGTTCGAGTACCGGCATGTCATGTTGCCCAAAGACATAGCCAAGCTGGTCCCTAAAACGCATTTGATGTCTGAATCTGAATGGAGAAATCTTGGCGTTCAGCAGAGTCAAGGATGGGTCCATTATATGATGATCCATGAACCAGAACTTCACATCTTACTCTTCCGGCAGCCACTACCCAAGAAGCCAAAGAAATGAAGCTGTTGAACAGACGGAGTCCGTAAAACAATGAAAGGGAATTTGGAGTTGGCTGGTTGTTAAATAGAAGCGTGTTAGGAGTTTTGATCGGTTCTACCGTTGGGAATTTTCACATCACTCGCATAACGTTGTTGGTGCAGGTTAATTTTCCTAATTAGAACTGCTCGCTTTACTGAAATTCCAAAGTCTACTGAAGAAAGAAGGTAGCCAAAGCAGAGCTGAAAGTTTCGTGTTCTCAGTGAAAGGACAGTTCCGTAAGACCTTCAGTGTTGGTTATTAGTTTATGAAAAAATAACAGGAGCGTGGTTGTCAGCCCTGTGTTAGAGGGCTTACAGGACTTGGAGTGGCATGAAGACTGGGCGTAGGTAGATACCCTTCAAATACTTGAGCATTTATGGCGTGCACACAGGTTTCGAATGTTCTTATTAAGGTACAAGGTAAGCTGGTACGGTAGCGCACACCTTTAATCTCAGCATTCTAGAAAGTGAGGCTACAGGATTATCGCAAGTTCCAGCCAGCCTGGACCCTATCTCGAGACAACAAAGTACAAAGTAATACATGGCGGACTTAAAAATCCATGGACTACGCTGAGACTCCATAGAAAAGTAACTTCTGTTGTGCTAGAGCTGAGTACAGGTGTGAGGAGAGCATGATATAGATGAAGGGGAAGGCTGAAATAACATGAGAGTCTAAAATACTGGTTGTCTGCTAAGGATTGTAAAGACATCCCTTGCCCTGAATGGGCAAGCATTTGGATGTGATAGTACCAAGTCCGTTAATTTAAATTGAAAATGAGAGAAGATGAAGTTCTACAAAGGTTGGTATTACACTGGTCTGTATCATTACACTGGTCTGTATCGGTTGTAATACTTAAAGCAACTTTCTAATTTGTATCATCGCTCCTTAACTAGAGAACATACAATGAAAATTAGCTTTCCTGTATCTCATCACTTGTCCTACAAGGCTTCTGAGCAGTCTGGAAAATTGGTGTATATTGATAAATATATATAACTTTTTTTTTTTTTTTTGGTCAAGAAAAACCCCACACCATTTTACTGGGTCTCAGGAACTAAGCAGGGTCCAACTGGCTTGTTACTTGGATGGAATAAACACCCCATCTTTCTTGGATCCAATTAACTTTTGTTCTCAGCTGTTCCCCATGGCTGTAAATAAAACATCTTTCCTTTTTTAAAAGATTTATGTATGTATAGGAGTGTTCTGTCTTGTATTTCTGCATGACAGAAGAGGGCATCAGACCCATAGATGGTTGTGCTTGCTGGGAATTGAATTCAAGACCTCTGGAAGAGCAGCCAGTGCTCTTAACTAATGAGCTACCTCTCCAGACCATTAAACATCTTTCTTACATTTTCATGCCTGGGAAGAAATCAGTGGCTTCATTCCCAAGAAGATGTAACTTTTAGCTTAGTGGTAGCATTTTTGTTGGGGGGGGGGTTGGTCCTATGCATTGAAGTTACAGTTTTGTGCCCGGGACTTACTAGAGTGTGAATTCTTTTCAGACATGGCTTAGAATTATGGGGCCAGGGCTCTTGATATTACTACAAAGGGAGCATTTAGTAAATTTTCATTGAGCTTGATAAACTTCCTGAGGTGGTCTTGAGTCAAGTCAGATGACTTTTTTGCCATTGGCCTTTGGTTAGGGAAGCATGGGATTTCCCAAGTGTCATATACTACATCTTTTAAGGGTTGGAAAACTAGCCATGCAGTGGTGGTGCACGCCTTTAATCCCAGCACCCTGGAGGCCGAGGCAGACAGATAGATTTCTGTGAGTTCGAGTCCAACCTGGTCTCTACAAATTTAAGTTACAGGACTGTTACACAGAAAAAAGGGGGAGAAAAAAAAAAGGTTAGAAAACAAATTCAGTATAAACATTTAAAAGTTTTCTTTTATACCTGTTCCATACCCCACTCTATAATAGACCTTCCCTCTCCACAAAGTGACTTCTTCCTTAATCAGTCCTAGAGTGGGTAAAATGGGTAATCAGCTAGAAGATGGTAAGGCCTGTAAAATCAGAAAATACAAATATCATCAGTGTCTTGATATCCAGGAATTCATTCAAATTGTTCATTTGTATTTTTATTCTCACACAAATTCATAAAAACCCATGTTTCTAGCTGCCTCTGTTGTACAATATTCCACAGTAAGGTTATACAAATCCCAGATATTAGGAACTAGTTGCTGCTTAAGTTTTCTTTCTTTTGGTTTTGTTGTTGTTTGTTGTTGTTGTTGTTGTTGCTGGTTGGTTTTTTGCTTTTCCCCTGAGACAGGGTTTCTGTGTAGCCTGGAACATGTAGACCAAGCTGGCGTAGAGCTCAAGAGATCCACCTAACTCAGCCTTCCAAGTGCTGGGATTAAAGGCTTGCATCACCATGCCCAGCTACTTGCTTGTTTTCAGATTCTCTGTAGCCCAGAATAGCCTCAAACTCCTGTAATCTTCCAGCCAGACCCCTGTGAGTGTCAGCATTACACGTGTGAGCCACCACACTCAGCATGTTTCTCCTCTGCTTGTCTTTGTATGTAGGTCAGTGTCCCCCCTATTAACACAAATTCTTCACATCCCCATGTTTCTGTTACAGGCATGTCATGTTGCCCAAGGACATAGCCAAGCTGGTCCCTAAAACGCATTTGATGTCTGAATCTGAATGGAGAAATCTTGGCGTTCAGCAGAGTCAGGGATGGGTCCATTATATGATCCATGAACCAGGTCAGTGCAACGTAAGGAAGCTTCATTCTGTCTGAAGGAAGAAGATTACAAACCAAAGCAACAGAGGAAGGGGGGCATCATTTATAGGATTCTGTCCCCCGTTCACTATGCAAAGAAACTAGAGTGACAAAAATTAGAGTTAAAAACATCTAGGAAGATCAGGGACAACCTTACTCAAAACAAAACAAAAAACCCGGCAGTCTTTAATTGAGCTGAAGGGTACTCTTCAAGACCACATACACCCTGATTATGACCTCTGCAAGTAACTGGATGTATTCCAAGCAAACATACGCAATTCTGTTTCTTGTTAAGACACCAGACACCCAGCTGCCAGGCAGAACTAATAAAGGACACCCCAGGGCTGTACAGACAACAGAAGAAAAAAATTCTGTCCATGGCAAAAAGGCCAGACTTCAGGGGTGCTTCTAAGGCAGTATGCTTATGTCTAATTTGGTTATGAAGCTTGAATGGGTATGGCTGGGGTGGGTGACACTGGTAGAATACACTACAGACTGCTTGAATGGTGTGAGTTTCCTTCTTAGATTTCACTAATTCTTTCAGAACCTCACATCTTACTCTTCCGGCGGCCACTACCCAAGAAGCCAAAGAAATGAAGCTGTTGACCCACCTTTCAGCCTCAAGCTTTACACAGCTGTCCTTCCTACACCTTCTGATAGCATGATTATGTTGCTTTCTTATTTCTCACTTTGATATTTAAAGGATGTTTGTTCAAAACACTGTTTGAATGTGTTGGTACCTGCTTTGCTTCTTGAGCTGAGCCACCAATGCCACAACCTGTCAGATGAGTGTGACCTCAAAGACCTAGTGTGCTCTTTATCCAGCAGGCATATCCATACTTGCCATCTCTGGGAAGCATGTGAAAATCAGATCATGGCTGTTACAGGGATAGTGTGAATTTGCTGTTGTAGTTTTTACTATTGGGTATTGTATTTATGGTGACTTACCGATTTATGTTTCAATATATTGGAAACTTTCCATTTTATATGACAAATCTCTTCTATGTTACAAGCCTTGATTAAAGGAAGTTTTTATAATCTAAAAAAATAAAAAAATAAAGGAACTTCTGGAGGTATCACCATCCCTGATCCTGGAACCATTCTGATTCTGGGCCTTTCTGGTGGATGGCGGAAACTTGGCTCTTTGCAGTAATGAGGTTTAGTTGGATATTGCAATAACTAATTTATAATCTATTTTAATTGGACTTACTGTAAAGACATTTGTTGAGGGGCTGGGGAGATGGCTCAGCAATTAAGAGCACTGGCTGCTCTTCCAAAATACCCAGGTTCACTTCCCAACACCCACATGGTGGCTCAGCTGTCTATAACCCCAGTTCCAAGGGATCTGACACCCTCGAACAGACATACATGCAGGCAAAACCCCTACAATGTACATTAAATAAATAAAACTTTTAAAAAAAATTTTGCTGAAGTGTAATTCACTCTTGATTACTAGCCTGAGATAATGGTTTTACTGGGACAACCTTGTCTGTCTCATCAGAGGAAATTAACTGTTTCCTACAGTCAGAAGTTGTCATTTACATATTTATAACATTTGAAGAGCTTGTGAAGATGGGGACAGGGGTGGAGTGTTAATGCTGTTCCGTTGCTATAGTACCTGCATAGGACTCCTGCTCCTGTGGCTTGTCAGCTGAGGCTAATGGCTGGAGCCGCATTTCAAATATGGTTGAGTATTAGAACTATCTGAACAGTTTCAAGTACTGATACCCAACAAAGTAATTCTTTGGAGTAGCTGAAACATGTCCCAGCTCTTGGGGAGGTGGGTCTCCAAAGTTCAAGGCCAGCCTGGTCTGCAGAGTAAGTTCCAGGACAGCCAGGGCAACACTGAGAAACCCTGCCTGGAAAAAAACAAGAGGCAATGTCTTTTGATGCCAATACCAGCCCCTGACCCTTTAGTCTAGAATTAGCCTTAGCTAAAGAAAACAGTAATGAGCCTACAAAAGTGAGAATGTTGGTAAGGTGTGGTAGCATACGCCTTGAATCCCAGCACTCCGTAGGAAGAGGCAGAGTTCGAGGCCAGACTGATCTATATAAATTAGTTCCAGGCCTATACAGTGAGATCCTGCCTAAATGTTTTTATTATTTGAACGAAACAGAATCAGACTTTAATTTCCTTCCAGTACTAGAAAGCAGCACCCAACAATCCTTAAAGAATCTCCCAGTAAGATCCATTCCCGTCTCAAACGCTAAGTCCCGCCCTCCATGGGCAAAGGCCGGCCCCTATTTTTATTTCCGGGCAGTGATGACCACGTGGTGTTGCCAATAACAACTTAGCGTTTCCTTCAGCGCCTAGCTAAAACCCGTAAACGACAGCCAGAATAACCAATCAGCATGAGGTATTGTAAGGCGGGACTGTGACTACGGAAGCTGCCGTAGGACACGCGGAAAGGAACGAGAAGGACCCTGTGAAGGGGCAAAATAGGCAGGTGGGATGACACGAGGTCAATGATTGAATCCTGTTGAGATAAACAGACTTCGGGCAAGAAAGGGTGCAGAGGTAGGTTGAGTTCTAGCCGGTGGCGGGCGCGGGGAAGGAATGCATTTAAAGGGGCCCGAGGCCCAGAATAAGACATTTAAAGGGACAGGTGACCTGAAGACAAGAGACATTTAAAGGTGCAGATACTACAGACAGAGAAAATTCCAGACCTGCTGGGCAGACGGAGATATCTAAAGTGGTAGGTTTTGAAAGAACATGGCACTTCCAGGGAATAGGAATCGAGACGCTTTTAGGAGCCTGGGGCTTGGGAATACGTTAAGGATGCTGGAGTGAAGGAAACATTTCTAAAGGTGATGACTAGAGAAGACAGCCTTCCTCTAAGGGAGGTACGTTCCTGCCCTCTCCCATTGTCTTTTCTGGCTCTTCCAGGTTCCCTTGACCCCCGACTCTGTACTCAGGCTATGGCCCCCAGTATCCTGTAGACCTGGCGGCCCCTCAGTGCTTACGGCCCCTGTTTGGGGGACTGAGAGGGTACTGGAGAGCCTTACAAAAGAGCAGACAGGGCAAGACCATGGCGTCTAGGGCCTCTGAACTTCCTCCAGGACGCAGTGTGACGGCGGGCATCATCATTGTTGGAGATGAGATCCTTAAGGTGTGTCTAGAACTAGAGGGGAAGGGCGTGTTATTCTTTTACTGTGGGCATTCTTGCCGGTGAAAGGTGGTGAACCGGGGTGGGAATCCTCTTGCTTGCCGAAGTAGGACCCTATAGCGAGTCCCAACATTCTGGAGGAAAAGTGACCCTCCTGTTATTAAGTGTTTCTGTTGAAAGATGGGTAGCAATTCATACAACAATTACACAAGAAACAGTAAGTAGAGGAAGCACAGGTGTAATTAATGTGTACCCAGCCTATTTGGAAGTTATTTGAGGAGCTCAGCAGACTGGATAGGCAAGCTAGAAGGAAGGTACTAGAAGAGAGGACTCTATTCTAGATGATCACGGATGTTACTAGAGGATATGGCAGGCATAGGTTTGTAACAGTAATTTTGACCCTGGTCTTTTTTAGTGTTTAAGGAGACTGGCTGTACATTATTATATCACATGTGGCCTTACAAATTCTAAGTCCATGAAGTTGGGGTTTTTTATTACAAATCTCAATAGATTATGAAACAGCCTCAAAAAGAAGTTTGCCCAAGGTCACAAGCCTACAAAGTGCTAGGAACATGATGGTGCACACCTACAGTCCCAGCACTTGGAAAACAGAAGCAGGTGGATTTCTGTGAGTTTGAGGCCAGCCTGATCTACGGAGTGAGTTCCAGGACAGCAGGACTACACAGAGAAACCCCACCTCAAAATAAATAAAAGGAAGAAAATGGTAGAGATGGAATTCTAGCCCAACCCTTCCTTACTCCAGAGCACAAACTTTCTGAGACAGGAACTGACTGAGTAGCCCTGGCTGTCCTGGAACTTAGTAGACCAGGCTGGCCTTGAACTCACAAAGGTCCACCTGCCTCTGCCTCCTGAGGGCTGGGATTAAAGATGTGTGTCACCATGCCAGGCTTAAAGGTTTTTTATTTTATGTTTATGTGTCTGTGTGTGTATCTGGGAATGCCCACAGAGACCAAAGGAAGGTATAAAATTCCCTAGAGTGGGACTTAAGGTTATTGTGAGCTGCCCAGTGCCAATACTAAAAACCAGACTCTGGAAAAGCAGCAAGCATTCTTCAACTCTAGAACACAAATGTTTTCATTTATTTTATTTTGAGACAGGTTCCAACACAAATTCTTTTTCTTTTTTTTTCCAACACAAATTCTTAACTACTCATCCCTCCATAAAGAAGTAGAAGTTAAAGGTAGGAGAGAAGACAAAGAACACAACATAGCCAGCCTTTAATGATTGCAAAAGAATTTGAACTTTATCCTGTATGCATTTGGAACCAGAACACATGTTTTTGAGCACAGAGTGATTTAGTGATCACAGTGACACATTAGAAAGGTTACATAGAAGACAGGGAGCAGAGCATAGTGGCTGGAGGCTGGGAGCTGCCCAAGAGTTTGTCAGCATTGTCCAGGTGAAAGGCATTAAGACCTATCCTAAAGGAAGTGAAAATAGTAAAGAGAAGATGGTGAGATTTTTCAGAAGTGGAGCTAAGAAAATTAAAGGTCTAACTGACCATGGACAGGTCTGGAGTGCCCCTGAGCAAAATGACAATAACCAGGGATGTGGTGAGACTGCGCAATGGGTACTTGTAGCCAGGGACTAAAATTGAAACTGCTGGGGTTGGTGACAAGTCAAAGAGCCACAATGAGTTAATGATTGAGTCTATAAATATAGGTGAGGTCGAGATCAAACTGCAGACTTGACAACCAAATCCATAAATGCAAGTGAGGTCGGGATGAATGGGTAGCAAAGCAGCCCCAAGGAGGATCCCCTCTTCTCTTCATTCAGATGGGTATTCCCATTCCAGGCTCTTGGCAGCCTAAGGTACCCCCCAAAACAGGACACCCCATCACTAACAAAATGTAGCTATCTCCCCCTCTCCCTTCATCCCCCCAGCACTGACAGTCTTGTCCTTCCTCCAATTCCTAGGGACACACTCAAGACACCAACACTTACTTTCTCTGCCGGACACTGCGGTCCCTGGGGGTCCAGGTTTGCCGAGTCTCTGTTGTACCTGATGAGGTAGCCACCATTGCAGCTGAGGTCACCTCATTCTCCAGCCGCTTCACTCATGTCCTCACTGCAGGGGGCATCGGCCCCACTCATGACGATGTAACATTTGAGGCAGTGGCACAGGCCTTTGGGGAGGAGCTCAAACCACACCCTGAGCTCCAAGCAGCCATCAAAACCCTAGGAGGGGTGGGTTGGGAGAAGCTGTCTCTGGTGCCCTCCTCTGCCAGCCTGCATTATGGCACAGATCCTCGCACTGGCCAGCCCTTCACGTTCCCGCTGGTCTCTGTCCGAAATGTCTACCTCTTCCCAGGGATCCCGGAGCTGCTGCGGCGAGCGATGGAGGGACTGAAAGGACTGTTCCAAAACACAGCTGTGCAATTCCACGTGAAGGAGTTGTATGTGGCAGCTCCTGAGGGTTCTATTGCCTCCATCCTAACTGAGGCCCAGGCTCACTTTGGGCGTAGGCTTAGCCTGGGTTCCTACCCTGATTGGGGCAGCAACTACTATCAGGTGAAGCTGATTCTAGACTCTGAGGAAAAAGAGCCCTTGGAGGAATGTCTGGCTTACCTAACTGCTCGTCTGCCTCAGGGATCATTGGTCCCCTACCTGCCCAATGCTGTTGAGCAGGCTGGTGAGGCTGTATACAAACTCGCTCAGTCAGGTAGGAATCTCCTTGGAGAAGGCAATGTGGGCCAAAGTCTGGGTTCTCCTCTAGATGTGGTAATGCTGCAGAGGGTTCCCCATAGATGCAGGGAAAGTACAAGAGATTTGCTACTGAGCGATTCATTCTTCCAATAACTACTGACCACCTCCGTTCAGCAGCACTGTGCTGGGACTGGGGTAGTTATCACTTATCAGAACAGATGTACTCTACCTTGAGAAGGAATGGGTTAGCTGCTAAACAGATGACCATGGATGAGATGTGAGTCTGAAGTGGATTTCACCCCAAGATAGCAGCTTTGATCTGGGGTCAGAGAAAGGTTCTCTGAACAAATGACAAAACCTGAGCGATAAAGATTTGGTTGGACCCGGAGGTGACTGGAAGGAAGCAGATGGAGCTGCAGAGGATGGAAGGAAACCCAAGCACCCCATACTCCCACCCCCCAATCCCTGCCCCAGAGAAGAGATTACAACCAAGTTCGTGTGAGGTGGGGTTGGGTAGCAGGCGGGGAGACAGACAGTGCAGGGCAGCTTGAAAGAGTGGACTTAGCTGGGCGTTGGTGGCGCACACCTTTAATCCCAGCACTTGGGAGGCAGGAGTAGGTGGATCTCTGTGAGTTCGAGCCCAGCCGGGTCTACAAGAGCTAGTTCTAGGACAGCCTCCAAAGCCACAGAGAAACCATGTCTTGAAAAAAACCAAAAAAAAAAAAAAAAAAAAAAAAAAAGAGTGGACTTAATTCCAGAACACAGGGGAGATAGTGAAAAGTTTTAAGCAAGGGTATCATGACTTCTTTGACAGCCATATATACCTAGTTGACATTCTCTTCCCTGCCTGCATGGCAGGATCTTGTCTGGGGAAAAAGGTAGCAAGCGCCCTACAGACCATTGAGACTGCCCTCGATCAGTACCACCTCTCCAAGCTCTGTGTGGGCTTCAATGGTGGCAAGGACTGCACTGCCCTCCTACACCTCTTCCATGCAGCTGTGCAGAGGTAAGCCTACCCCCAGAAGAAGCTACTCAAAACCTCTCCATCTCCCAGTCTCAGAAAGGGTGCATAGTGGGCTTGGAAGGAAGGTAGCTGGGTGGTCAAGCAGTGCCGTCCCCACCATATTTATTGAACATCTGTATAGTCCACCATCCCCCACCACAGGGAAGTCAGTCCAGCTGTTCAGGTGAGATTTACCAGAAATCATATGAGCTGGCATGGTAACAGTCCCAGCAGTCAGAGGAGGGGGAATGACGATGCCTCATCTGAACTCAGGAACTAGAGGCTTGCCTAGGGAGTGTTTGGTATGGTATGCACCTCATTTGAGCCTTGGTCAGAAGAGTGTTGGATTCTCAGGGCTGGGAGTTACAGATGGGTTGTGGGTTACTGTGTGGGTTCTGGGAATGGAACCCAGGTCCTCTCCAAGAGCAATAAGTGCTTTTAATTGCTG